GTGCCAATGAAATTGCAAATTTAACATTTGTACATGACTTAGGACTTACCCTGGGAAAGTTGTATGTCATTTCGACCCAATTGGCCTAAGTCATCTCACCCTAGTATATATATAAGCTTTCATTTCAAAAGCTTCCCCCTGGATCTCTGGAAATGGTCATGTCAATTTAAACATGCTATATATCAATTAATAAGTCTTTCTTTCAAGAGCTTTCCTTTCATGAAAACACATATATACATATATATATATAAGTGGGATATCTACTTTCCCGGAGATCCTGAGGAAAGCTTTGAAAATGCAAGCTCTTGCCCGCAGAAATCTAGAAGAAAGCTTTTAACATACAAGGTTTCTATATAGTTGTTTAAATCTAAACATGATTATCTGCAGAGATCTATAGAGAATCTTTTATAACATAAAAGCGTCTATATACAATCTTTCCAAATCAAAATATAATTATAAGCAGAGATCTAGAGGACAATTGTTAAAACGACCACTTTTATGGCCTGCTTCTTTTCTAATTATCTTGTTCAAAACCATCTGAATGATTGATTGCTGCTTCCAAACCAATAAAATTACCCTGACTCAGGAATACATAATATATTTGTTCGTATAGAGTGAGAGCAAGAATAGATATGTGTGTTTATATGGAGAGGGGCTGCCACTGAAGCATTTACCTAAAATTTGGGGAAAACCAACACCCAGGCCCCATGACCACCCGCTCTCATATATATATATAGTTATATCACGACAGCATCTCCGAAAGAGGTCAGCTGAAGGTTCAGTTTATTATTAGATGGATCAAAATCGAAGGGATCAATTCAAGAATCACTACAAACGTACCCCCCCCACCCCCCCACCTTTGTGTGAAGTGAATCAATAGGACCCCCCCCGCCCCGCCCGGACTATGCGGCAGACAAGTAGTAGTTACAACAATACAAGACAACTTTTGACACAACAAGTTAAAACAATCATCTGCACAAGTAAACAATACAAGACAATTAGAAAAGAACTGGCAAAAAAAGTATCAAAAGTAACGTACAGGAGAAGATAGACTCACCACAGACTGGCATGATAACCAGACATTGGATGGACAACAAAACAACACACAACACTTCTCACCACTTTATCTTTGAAGCTCCAGGCCCCCATGGAAGATTTTGCGACCGAATATGATAGAAACAGGACCACACGCAAGCTATACCCCGCGGACCCCGCAATCCACGCGCACCCCGCGGACCCCGCGAGCCTCGCAAACTCCGCGGACCCCGCAAACCCCGCGGACGCCGCGGACCCCCCGCACTCCGCCGACCCCGCGAACTCCGCGAACTCCGCGAACCCCGAACCCCGCGAACCCCCACGAACACCGCCAACCAGCGAACCCCGCGGACGCCGTAAAACAATACGGACATCCAGTAAAGCAAGGACCAGCGAAACTAGCCCAGCTACCTGGCCATACCATCACAAGATCCCGCGTGGCCCGCTGACTTGACGCTGCCCAACAACAGCTGCCAGTCCTAGCGCCAGGACTATATACACTGCAAAGAGTCCACGCCACATAGACCACAACAGTCCAAGCCACCCCCGCCCCCCCCAAAGGGACACGACATCACAAACATCATCCCCAGGGATTTTTAAGGTGTTCACATTCGTCGTTGTCATCGCTTTCGTGCCCGCCTCTCAAGTAATGATATATATATATATATGCGACTTGCTTTGACTGGGATCCGTTGTGGCTTGAACAGAACCAGGTTCCAGTATGTTACAGTATGGTTGAAACGACTGCTCAGGACTTGCCGTAGTTTTCATGTGCTCTAGCTGCTAGAACCATGGATCGCCACTAAATTGGAAAGGACTCTTGAGAATCAATCAGTCATTGAATGCCCTTGGAACATCCCATCATAGAGCACGCATACACCTCTCCTATGTATTTACTGTAGTTTGGTTGAATACAGGGTATTAATATTGGACACAGTTCGCTATAGATCGTGTCGCGCTTAGATGCCAAGCTTTTAAGTTGAATCCGACTTTGGCCATGGCCTTCGCTGACCAGCGCAAGCGCAAGGCAGCTCCATCAATGCAAGTTGAAGTGTTGTGTCACGTTCTTGGGATTTGGCTTGAGGTTCTGATAGTCTTGCTTTCCCTGCAGCCCCGACATGTTTGGACGCATTGGATGTATGTTGGATGATGCACAGCAACTTTGATCAGGCTGCAAGTTCTAGGTGCTGCGGCTTATGGAGTTTGCCTGCCTAGTTTGGAGCGGAGCTTGTTGATTATTGGTCACTCTTCTTGCTCTTCGCTCATCTCCCTTGAGCAGGGCAAAAAGAAGAGCAAGTTTTTGGAAGCCTATCCAATGGTTGGCATCTTGAACAGTGCAGACTGCTTCCTTTGAGCTGCTTGCAGCTCTCAGCTTGCCGACAATAAGGTATTCAAATTCTTACTTTTTTGGTGGTGTGTCTTTGTGTTTGCGGTCGAGGGCTCAGCTGGACCCTGATGCCCCATGCATTCTTTGGGTTCTCATGTACAAGATGCTCGAAGGTTATGACCGTGTACATCATAGACCATTTGATGTACAAAAGGTTTGGACCAGCAAAGGTGGCCACAGCGCTCAGATGTTGTGTTTTGTACTTGTAGGACACATTTAATGACATGTTGTCCTGGCAGAATGATGTGTGGTTCAACCTGTAGTGCTGAAGGTGTGGAAGGCTGAGCACATCTTCAAAGGTGCATCCCGTGATCAGCTCAAGTGACATTGACTTTAAAGAGGGTCGAAAAATCAAATATGTCTAAAAAGAGTATAAGCCTTGTTCAGGTGAAGAACTTTGGACATATTTGGCAAATCCCTCCAAATGGTTTGCAGCTCAGCCTTGAAATCTTGCCATGGACAGGAACTCATTTGCCATTTTGTTTGGTGGAGAGCGAAGGTCGGAAAGCGACCACCCAGTTGCTCGCCCAGGGGGTACTGAAATCATGTTCGATGTGTTCAAAAACACCCCGCGCAGAAAGGTTGCCCCTCTAAGGTGTTGCAGACCGCCGATGTGAGCATGGTGTGTGACATCAAGGATCCTCCATCCGAAAAGGCAGGGTGTTGCTGCGAGTGTGATATCTACAGCACAGCAGACTGCTTCACTGCCGCAGGAGAACGAAGAGGAGGATTTGGCAGCAAAGGAAGAAAAGCCCTTTGAACATCCCAAGAAAGTTTGTCAGTCGATAGAGCCTGTTCCTCAGTCTTTGAAGCAATCTAAGCCATTCTAAGTCTCACGAATGATATCTCATGATCCTCAGCGCTTCGGTGAGCCAAAGGTGTTTGTTTTCAGTCTAAATTCTTTAATTCTCTAGTAATAAGGTGTAATATGTGCTTCGCAGTGTCAAGACCTCCTTGGGATACAAAGACCTTTACTTAAAATGCCATTCTTGCTTCTGCGAAAGGAAAAGACACATATATATATGTACATAGCCCGACCAACCTTTGAGAAGGCTTCGTGAGAGGATGTGTAAGTCAAGGCTAAATAGTTAAGTTTTCCTAAACATCTAAGAACCATCTTCATTGCTGGCGCAATCAGTGTCCACAATTTTTCGGTACACCGTTTACACCGTCTACACCGTTGGCACCGTCTACACCGTTTACACTGTCTACACCGTTACCGGCGTAAACAGCGTACACAGCGTAACCGGCGTAACCAACGTAAACAGCGTAGATAGTAGACAGCGTACACAGCGTAACCAGCGTAAACAGCGTAGACAGCGTACACAGCGTAACCAGC